AAGGCCGCGGCAGCTTCCCTATTAACCCGCGCGGCGCATGGACTTCGTTCTCCGTTTTTTTCCCTCCCTCCCTCCCTCCCGCCCTCCCTCTCTCTTTTACTCCGAGGACGCGTCGTGGAATGCGATGTGTCCGCGCGCTTCGACTCGCCGCGGCACGAAAAATAGCAAATTGGTCGCCGACGGGTGGCGAGTTTAGCGCGAGGAACGCGCGCCGGCAACGTCACAAACTGAAAATTCACGATGATGCTTGCGACGAAGGACACACTCCTTCCCCTTCCCACTGACTTCCCACTCAAGATGATCGAGATGACAAAGGTTAAATTTTGTCGGGCTCGTCAGAGGATATTATAATACCTGTAGCCTCGTGTTTTCTTTATTAACAGTAGCCAAAATAACACATGCCACCGCCATCATCATTTTCCACTGCTCTTTAGCATTTTTAGCAATCTTTCAATTCCGCTGTTGCTTCCACGCCAGGTCAGGTTCAATGTTCAGAAATTACTTGAACATTGAACGAAACTTGCACCGACTGACGCGCCTAAAGAATGCAGAAAGACGCAGGAAATCTCGCAACTTTCCGAGTTGCGAGACGACTAATGATTCACGCGACGACGGCGCGGCGGAGAAATCGTCTGGGAAACGAGCTCCCCGGTCTCGTGCCGCGCGGCTCGCGATACTGTTTCGCGCGGTAGCCACCTCCTCGGGAAAGTAGAGGAGCGCCGCGTCCCGGCTGCCTCTCGGCGTTGTAACGGCGGAGTAACGGCGTCCTCCACGAGAGGTATACACGAGAGCATCTTCGACGAGGATAACGCGACAGGAAGTTTCACCGCGGGGTGCCCGCGTGCGTGCAACACAGTGCCGAGGTCAAGCGTCGACTCGAGTGGTGATTCTTACACGATTAGAAAGCCGAGAGACGCTCAGTGATTGATACAACGTCTCTCTCGCCCCTTCGCCCGCAGGCGGACTACACTCGTCGTGACTGTTAATTGGAAAATCGGCATCGGCCGATCGCCAGCGGTTCGGCTTTCCGTGACGCGCGCGAAGGAGACTTCTCCTCTGTTCCTTTACTTTAGAGCTCTCGCTCTCGCTCGCGGCACGCAAGCTCTTCTCGTAGGGTGCCAAGGAACGTACGAGAAAAGTCACTTTGCTCTCGCGCAGTAGAAAGCGGGAATTATTATTACGCAGCTGTGATTATGCTGTCGCTATTATCGACATGCCTCCGTGGTAAGGCGCCCGCGCGACAACACGGCATGCACATGCTGAAATCGTATTTCCGGCATAACTGCGAAGGAGAGAATCGCGTATCTCAAGTCAACAACCAATTATATCGATATCAGTTGGTCAACGAAGGGGAAAATTTCACATCCAAGTGGATTCCAGATATGCGCAAAAAGAAGCCAGATTACGCTGATAAAATGTCCTCGAGAGAGAGAGAGGGAGAGAGAGAGAGAGAGAGAGAGCGTCTCATCACTCGAGCTCATTGGCGACAAAGTCTGTCGCACCGCTGTCGTAATTGACGTGTGCGCGTTTGAGAACCGGGGTTCGCGTTACGCGCTTTAGAACCTGGCTAATGAAGAGGGTACGCACCGATACGCGAGATCGCAACCGCGAGGGGAGGAGCGATTGGGGGGATGCGCGTCCGTCCGAGCGAGCAGGGCGGGTATTTACGCGACAAGACACGTTAATAAACGGGCTGAAAGAACGGGCGTTGAAGTTACCTCGGAATTTCTCCTAGCCGAGCTCGCAAACGTCAATTCTCCCGGCCGACGCCGACGTAGCAATAAACAGACCGGCGCGGTCGGTCCGTTAAATGCGGAAAGAGACGCGGCGCAAGCCGCTCTCCTGTAAAAACACACGCCTGCGTATCTCGAGTGGCGCGCGCGATCGCCGGCGGATAAGTCGGCGGGCAAACAAATACGCGCGATTATTTTCAACGAAGTTGAATTTACGGCCGACTGGTCGACGTCGGCGTCGGCGTCGGCGTCGGCGAGCTTAACGCTCGTCCATCTCGACGCCGATAGTGCCGTAAATTGGCTCGTTAGCGTGGACCTGTGCGTGACGCGGATAAGCCAGAGGACTCCGATTATTACGCTTATCTATTCTTCCAACTGTCGCCCGCGGCCGTCCGCGGATAAAACCAACCTCTGCCTCTGTGTCTTCCTCTCGTCGAGCCTGCCCTTCCCGCCGAGAGGGCGGCCGATCGAGAATGTACGCCATCACAGCCGATATTGGAGCCGGACGAGTGCGGACGAGTCTTTCTTTCTCTCCCTGCGGATGTCTCAGGCCGTGATACCTTCCGCACACGGTAACGTCACGTACGCGTCGCGTCGCGTTGGCGGAGGGTCGACGCGGCCGTCCGCGGCCAAATATAACCCGCTGCCCCTGCTCTTCACGAGAGGACCTCGTCGAGGGGATCGGCGGTGCGCGCCGAGTTGGATCTCGCTCGCGTTGCGAGACTTCGGGCGATAACGTGTCGTCCACGTGAGAATGTCTGGAGGGTGCTTTAGGAGGTAAGGGGGTTTTATTTATTTTGCGATAATTTACGGGAAAGGGATAGTTGTGCTATTTCGAACTGAGCGTTCCGCTCAATTTGCCATTCGAAGAGTCAAAATATGAAGGATAGTTTGAAGATACGAAGAACAGCTAATATCTCCTTCCCACTAGCCACGTTAAGGCACGCTGTCTTCTAGTCGTCTAGTTTTCTCCGGTAAGAGTGAAGCTGTAGACAAAGATCGAATGCCTGTGGCACAGACTGTGTTCTCTTTAGACGCAACCTTTTGTAGTCTCTTGCGGAGCGCTCAGTTCACATATTGACACAAGTGTATGATCCGAAGAGACCGTGATGGAAAAAGCCCGTTAGCGGCTTTCCCCTGATCGCTAATTAGAGACCTTCCCCTCGTACCGGCCCGATGTGTCCTGCTTCGTGCAGATATTCTCAAGTTGACGCGACGTACCGAGAAAACGGCGTCGTCAGATGCGTCACGTCGGTGCCTCGTCTCGGGACTCTGTACCTCTTCTCAGCCTCTCTCTCTCTCTCTCTCCCTCTCTCTCTCTCTCTCTCTCTCTCTCACGAGCGCGGTGTGTGCTGAATTACGTAAGACAAATCGACAAGTACTGTTTAAGTTTCAGGGATTCGCACTCTTCCGCGTTCCACTACGCTGGATATATTGTCCGGCGAGCATCGTCAATCCCACGCGAGGTTCACACGACTTTCAGCGCGTTCGCGTCCGATTCAGCTCCTCGCTCGCTTGTCCGTAACGGAACCTTGTATTTCGCGAGGGAAATATCCCCTATAAGCACGCGCGCGTACACCTTTCTCTCTCTCTCTCTCTCTCTCTCTCTCTCTCTCTCTCTCTCGTCGCATTCTAGCAGCTGGAGACTCCTCCTTCACCTCCTCGAATCGATAGCAATTACAGTCGAGAAGATTTCTCGAGCGACGTTAGTTTCGCTGTCGGGTCTGCTAGAGCTAGAGGGTCTGGTACGTCCGTAACGTCGAAACTAGTTTATACGTGTCGGCATATTAACCTCGAAACTGTAAATAATTATTGCGGTCTAAGAATGGCCACGAAACGAGATTACAGTAATTATCCCGGCGTGCTTAGCTAAAACGAGGTTTCCTCACTTGAGGGTCCGGTAATTGCGCCGCTATTGCCGGGTTCCCACTGGCCGTCGCGCATGCTTTATCGGTCGCTTCGGGCTTCTCGGGACTTTCCGTCTTCCTTAATCTACCTACTCATCACCGATTCACCTTTGACAAATTGGACCGCATTAATCCAGGACCGTTCCAGCCGCGCGCGCGCGCGCGAACCTCGGGAATACTTTCGATACTTTAGCGCGTTCTCTCACTTCACCTTGACGGAGAACCGCCGCTCATCTCCGTGCGCGCGCGCGCGCTACGTTCGCCGAGGGAGAGATTCTAGTTTATTAATCAAACCGTGTAAGCGACCGAGGGGCGGGTGTACGATGCACCATACTGCAGTTTATACGATAATTTCACGAGTCTATATTATTCGAGTTAATATCAATTTATCGTACATCAAACTCTCCTCGGCGTGCGAGATTGCACGCGCTCTCTGAAATTACGGGCCGAGGCCGCCCCCACGGCCGCGCGTTACCAGATGCGATTTCGGTAACGCAATTAGGTAAACCTGTACACGATAAATATCCGAAATTGCAGTGCATTACAGTCGGGTACAAGGCACGCGTGCGCGCGCGCGCGGAATACCTCGTTTTTCCCTGACTGAATCAGCCTCCTCCGCGAGGCTGGGCGCATCGCGTTTCGTAAACTATTGTCCGACATTTTGTGCCGCTCGGTGGGTATCAAGGCCCCCATCCCCCTCCTCCTCCTCCTCCTCCTCCTCCTCCGAGCCTTCAACACTCGGCGAAAATCTGCAAGCGGCACGCAACCGCGATTAATTCGACGAGATCGACACGTTGATTGCGATGGACGGTCATCGTGATATAGCGATGTCACTCGTTGGGTCACTCTCTAAATTTCTCGCGGTGAAATCTCTCTCGGTGAAAAACAAGTGAAGCGATGGTACAAATATTGCCGCTATCAGAGAATCATACAGTAGTGGGACACGTTTACTCAAACTTCGATTCCTCGATCCGTACGAGTGAAACATATTTCGGTCGCTTCGAGTGGAGAATTCGCTCTGCATGACTGACGAGTCACTCAAACTCAAGTGACTACACTTTCGAGTGTAGTTTCTCCCGAGAAAAGTTTTAGCGTATAAGGTGTATAGGGTGTAAATCAATCGCGTTTGAAATACGTCGGCTGTAGAAAAACGTCCAGCAGAAAGCGAGACGAGACGAGACGAGAGAAATCCAAGATGAATTTCATTCGCTTGTCTTCGATAATCCAAGCTGAAATCTGGACTGGAGTCCGTAATCTCGGGAAACCCTTTAGCCCTTCAGCGAAGCAACGACACGCGACTGCGAGCCGAAGGAAGGGCGAGCCGAGAAGGGAGAATAACGTGTGCGTGAAAAGTACTCACCAGATCCCCGGCGACGACCGCGTGGCTGAGCGCGAGCAGGACGACGAAGACTCGGAGGGCCGTCGCGGTGCCGGTGAGGGTGGCGATCATGCCCGTGAGGTGGACGGGTCGCAGACGGCGACGCAGACAGTCGGGCGACCACGGGGACGCGCTGTTCGTCGACGACGAGGAGGAGAAGGTGGTGGTGGTGGTGGTGATGGTGGTGGTGGTGGTGGTGGTGGTGGCAGGCCGGTACTCCCGTCGCGGATGCATCGCGTCATGATCGCGACGTGCCACTCGCTGGCCGCGTCGTGTCTCGCCTCGATGTGTTCCACGGTGTACCCCACGTACCCTACCTACCTACCTACCTACCTACCCACCGCTAACCTATCTACCTACCTACCTACCTACCTACCTACCCTGTCGCGCTCTCGCGCGCTTCTCTCCGCGCGCGAGAATGCGCGTGAGTGCGCGGTCACGGCCCTACGTGCCGCGTCGTCGCACGCGCGCGCGAACGAGCGAGCGAGTCTATAAATACGGACGCGCGCGACTCCACGCAAAGAATTTCAAACAACCGCGCTGTAAAATACCGCCGATGTACGTACGTACGTAAGGGCGAACGGGTTCCGCCGCAAGACTCGACAACCAGTTAGCCAGCCGACTGGTCGACCGACCGACCGACCGACCGACCGACCGACCGACCAATCCTCCTCCGTCGACGACCTTCCACCGCGAGACACGACAGCCTCTCTTGGCCTTGACACTGGCGTCTCGTGTTCGGACGCGCGGACGTCCTGCCGGATGACGACTTGGCGCGCTGAAATCCGACAGACAGACAGCTTCCTCTTAGGCCAGCTAATGACACGATGGTTTAGGAGTTTTGCCGGGCAAATGGGCGGGTTACCTCATCGCTCACTAATTCCTGAGCTGCGAGAAGATTGCGGGTGTCTTAACAAGATTAGGGATAGCGAGGCGAGGTTAATATCACCGGCAGACAGGGAGATCTACTCGCGGTTACCCGCCAGCGACGTGAGACGCTGGCGCTGGCTGGTAATTAGGGAGACACTGAAAGCCGCGAAACTTCAGTCCGCATGCGGAGCATCCTCGGCGGTAACGATACTCATCCTCGACGATGGGATTCCGTGTTCTTCGCGCGCGTTTCGCAATGATTCCCATTATAGCGCAGCATGATTTACACTTCTTCCAGCCGCGGCGGCTGGAAGCCGGGCTTCTTCAGCCCGACCGGCCAGAGAGGAACGTGAAGAAGAAGAAGAAGAAGAAGAAGAAGAAGAAGAAGAAGAAGAAGAGGGCGAGAAAGAAAGAACGAGAGAAAGAGAGTAACCACACTTCATGCATGTTAGCTACTTTATTCCCGGCGAGATCGTTTGACGTCTTATTCTCGCGTGCAAATCGTTACAAGATCAAAAGATCGCACTTGACGTCTGACGCGCGCTTACGTGCGCGCCGCGCCGCCGCCGCGATTCTTCGCTCCTGTGTGTTTCAGTTCCCTAAATAACGTCTACCCGTGCGAAATCTTACCCTGGTGTTCACACACACGGCCGGCGAACCGGCCGAACGAATAAACGAAGCCCCGAAACGTTCTCGGCGCGGTCAAACAAGTCCGTCGATCAAGGCCGCCTCGGATGATCAAAGTGTCCAAAGTGGAGGAACGTCGGCAGCTTCCGCGCCTCCGCAGCACCGCTTCTCGGTTTTCGCTTACGATCCGCCAACCGAATAAATTCGATGCCCGGACGGATTTACGGTAGCTGCAGCGGCGGTAACAGCCGTCGAGCCGACGAGGACTGAATATTCGCCCACCGTGAATTACAGCCGGGGAACCGTTCGCGGCGCGAACGTCCGATCCGTCAACGAGCTCTTTACGTGGCCGGTGATGCTTTCGCGCAAGATTAAAGGCTCGCCTTGTCTAACGGAGAGATATCACTCCGCTCCAGCCGGTAAAATTGTCCAGCGCGGGAACATACGCGGCGGGGGCCGCCGCGTGCGCGACCGCGCGCGAGACCGGCTGATATTTTTAGTCCTCCCGACTTCCCGGCCGTCTGTCTTCACCTTTGAGCCACCTAAAGTCTAGTCGCACTCTGGACTGACGCGCCGATATCTTTGTTCTTCCCCGAAGCATACGTCGCTATTGGCGGTACTCTCGTACCGTGTTCTCGGAGCGCAGGAACTCGCCGATCGATGAACCTGCGCCGAGATATTTCGACTCTCCTCCGGCTCGACGACGACGCGCTTGCCGTCCTCCTCCTCCTCCTCGAATCGTGTTCTTCGCGAGCTGCTGCAGACTGCGCCGATCTGTGCTCCGTCTTGGGCGAATCGATTTCTCGAGCTAGTCGTTGGCCTATTGAGACTCGATACGATCAAATATCTCGCGGCCTCGTCAAGTACCTCGCATCGAGGTATCTCGACCTCCGTCTCCCGATGTGAGCGAACCATGAATGGGTTCTTCATCTCCTGCGGACGGTCCTCCTTGATTTACTGCTCTCTCGCGAACGATTATCCATCATCGTCCTCATCATCGTCGAAGTGCCACGGCCGCGACTCCACGAGTATTCGCGTGTATTATCAACAAGTATTTCACTGATATCCCACAGATTCCGCGATTAGAATAGAGGCGACTCGACGTTGCTTCGCGGTGCGAGGAGGTTCGCGGTGTTCCGGGTTTCTCGGCTCGCTGATAAATGAAGAGCGAAGACGAATGCGAACCGGGAAGCGAGTGCACGGTAGAGCAATCTTCTCCTTTCTCCTCCTCCTCCTCCTCCTCCTCCTCCTCCTCCTCCTCCTTTTCTTTTGCCCTTCACAATCTTCTTTATCCTCTTCTTCTTCTTCTTCCTCGTCTTCTTCGTCTTCTTGTTCCCTACACCAACTTGGTGCGAAGACGTTCATCTGTCATCGGCCGTTGCCGGGAAGATAGCTCGCGCAATTCGTCCGCGGTGAAACGAAGCTGTCCAATATGCGTCCCATGCGGGAACCGTCCGAGAGCGCACGCACGTGGCCCTCCAGGCCGACTGACGAGATACACGCGCGAGAGAGGAAGTATCAACGGAGGCTGCAGAGAGGAGTGGCTGCCAAGTCAGACGGAAGTGGAGGGTGATTCTGCGGGAACAGCCGGCGCGGCGGTGGGGTACGTCTCGGCCGGTCCGTACGCCGAGACGTTTCTCCTGCGGCCGAAGACGCGCGTTTTCACCATTTTCCTAGAGACCTGCCCCACCTCATTATATATCCTCCTGCTACAAATCTGCCAGAAATCTGAATTTTTCACCTCGCTCGGACACGTTTGACGTCTGATATAATGGGTAACAAAGAGGTAACATGAAATTCGGAGGATTTCAAATTTTTTCCGGTGTTTGGATACAGGTAACGTGGAATAAGTGAAGTGGCGACGCAAAGGAGAAAACACTTGGTTCGTGTTTAAACGCGCTCTTGTGTGTTCTTATATATATATATATACATATATATTATTAATATTTCCAACTTTTTGACGGTTGTCCATTCGGTCGATTATTATCACCACACTTATTACCATGGTCTTCATGGTCTACTTCGACATGCTGTTTACGATAATTCGCGTTATCAGCGTTCAGCAGACGGTAGGAAAACGACGGCGTATGCGGTCGCGTTTACGCCGCTGACGATCGCGCGGACCGGCCAGACTGGTCGGCTGCCACGATAAGATCGAGCTTCCCCGACATTAATTTCAAAACGGATTAGCTCTACCTAATAGCGCGGCACCGAAACTCGCTCACGAAACGCGCTGTACGCGCTTCGTCTTGACCAAAGTGACTTTTCTTCGCCGATCGCGATCGTGTTAAAGTCGCAAACAAGCTCTCGCGAGTGCGATTAGCGAAACGCTCTCGCCGCGCGCGAAGTCGCGCGCGCGTCGTCACTTGTTGATATCGAACGCGCTCGCGCCGCACGTCTCATTCCGCTACGCGATCTTTGATGCCTGCGAGGGATCTGGGTCACTCGGACGTGCGTTTAGCCGCGCGAAATCACAATGAAAGACGCGTGAGAGAGTGACACATCATCGTGACGGCGATGCTAGAAATAAACGCGCGCTGTCGAAGACGACGACGACGACAAAAACGGCGGTCCACCCGCTGGGTCAATGGCTGGGAGTCGTTGTGTCGATCGAAAGCATCCGCGGTCGGAAGAAGTCGGAAGATGTGGCTCCGAAGCTCTTCAGGGAAGGGAGCCCGCTTCAGAAAAGCAGGACGCGCGAGTCGTTAGGGATCATCATTGCCGCGCGCGTCTTTCACCCCCCGTTACTCGCCGCTCCGATTGGGAATTAGATCACGCTCTCTTTCGTAATCTCTCTCTCTCTCTCTCTCTCTCTCTCTAAACTCCAAAATCAGCCACTCGACAAGTTCGGAAGAAGCCGGGGGATTGAGCAGGGTCGCTCGCGAAGAAGTTTCGGTTAATGACACACATCGCAGTTGCCTACCAGAGTATCCCTGTGGTCTGGCCACGCCCCGCTCTCGCAAGGAAGATTATACGAAATTGGCCGTTTTTTTCAGGAAAAAATAAGCAAGAGTAAGCAGCGGGCCGCTGCTCTGAGGAGCAGCCGGTGATTTCGTCCGTTCCCGAAACGAGGGCCGCTTTTCGACCAAAGCCAGACGGGTGGAGAGGGAGAGGGAGAGAGAGCGAGAGAGCGAGAGAGCGAGAGAGAGAGAGCGAGAGAGAGAGAGAGAGAGAGGGAGGGAGGGAGAGAAGAGTTGATTCACACATAACGAGCATAAAGTAACGACACGCTCGCGCGCTACTTCGCCATCAGAGCCCATCGGGAGGCGTTTGACGAAACCGTTTGACGATGAACTGTTGCGTCGATTAAAATTGCTCGTATATAACGATATTAAGCGTCGACAACGTTTCCCCTCCTGTTCTCGCTCCCTTTTTTCGCTCGTCGCTCGCAACGCAATAACGAAGATTAACTGCGCGCCACAATACGCGAGACGCGATTAAGTACGCGTGTCATTACCGCGCCATATCGGTGTATCGCGTCGGCGATAAATTTCACGACAACGTCTGCTCTCTCTCTCTCTTTCCCTCTCTCTCTCTCTCTCTCTCTCTCTTTCGGTCCGTGCAATGCTGCCGTGAGCGAAAAGCAATTCGCCAATTGCGAGCGTCATAACATTGATCGATGCCCCGTCGCTTATCATCGAAATGGAAGGGGATATTACGGAAGAATAGATCTTCGCGATGGTCGCACTCCGGTGGTCGCGTTCGCCCTGCCGCGCACACTCCCGTCGTGCTTTATCCTGTCGCAGGCTCGGCCAAGGACGCGACATAGTTTCGTTGAGACTAGACGTTGACTAGGCGCTTCCAAATTAGCTCGCCGATAAACACGAGGATGGAGAGGGAGTAGCCGATTTTCAGGACGCAGAGCATCGGCGAGAACACGCCGACGTACATGAAATTCATCCGGTCCCGATTCACCACCTTGTCCTTGCTCATCTCCCTCGTCTCGTTGTGCAAATAGTCGCGTTGCCACTTCTCGCGAATGCCGCCTTGCGTGAGCATCAGCAGCAACTCGCTGACGCGTCTGACGTAAGGCGATCCTTTCGAGAAGATGTAACCGGTCGGTGACGACCGATAACAAAGTTTCGTCGTTCTCAGCATGCTCTCGCCGTCGCGCATGTTATTAACCGCGGCCAGTTCGGCCCAGCCTTGCTCCATAAAACAGGCAACGTTTCGATGCATCAGCAGGGTCTCGAGACACGTGTCCATGCGGTCGATGCGTCGGATCTTTCGCTCCGTGTCGCGATTCTCCAGGACTACGCTGTCCTGCACGATGTCCACCATGTCGCGATACATCATCAGCGTTAGATCCGAATCGATGAGATCCGAGAGGTGATCGAATCGGGCGTAGCGATCGCTCTCGAGAGTGACGCTCATCAGCTCGGCGAAGAGACTCGACGAGTAGCGCGCGCAGGCCGCGAAGATGCTGATAAAAACGATTCGCTCGTGCAGCCTGCTGGGTGCTGGCGGGAAAGACGAGGTCAGCATGATACCGACGATCCTCAGGGGATGCCATCTGCTAGGCTCGAGTCTCATGAATCTCGCGCACAGCCAAACGATCCCGACGATCGAGAAGCTCGCGAAGAACAGCCGGAGCCCGTTGACTTGGAACTCGATCAGGTTCTGCCGAGCGGGCAATCTCGGTACCACGAAGCACCACTTCTCGACGTGGACACTGTCGGTGAATTGCACGTCCGAGTCTACGAAAACCGGCATCGTGTTGAACAAGGTTTCGTACTCCCCGGAGATTAGGTCTGGTATGATGCCGTCGGTGGAGCCGTTGGACCATGTCTGAATGTATATATTATGTGTTAGTATCTTGCCGAAGCCGCTGAAGTTCATTTTATCCGCGAGCGCTTGAATTATCATCCAGTCGACACCCTTCATCCTCCTGCGGCCTCCCGCAGAAGTCGACACTACGTCGCTGTACGGAGGTCGTCGGAGGAAGGCGTACGCGAACGGGTAACCTCGCATGTCGGGGAAATCATCGGCGAACCACTCGCTGGTATCCTCGCCGGAGTGGTAAGCCTCCTGGGTGATACTGCCGGCGAACGGATCGTAACGGTGGACGGTCGTAGAGTGCTCGTTCGCTCGGCAGTACTCGACGACGATCGCGTCGAGGATCCGCCTCGACCATATCGCGCGGAAGAGGATCGCGAGATCGCTACGCGACTGACGGAGTATCAGCAACACGAGCACTTTCGGCCGGCTGTGCGTGTGAACGAAGCGCCTCAGGTCGTCGGCCACGAGCTCGCCCTCGACGATATCCGGCTCTCGTTGCGAGACATAGATATACACGAGTAGATCGCGTGACAGTGCGCAGGAAGAAACCTGAAACTCCGGCTCAGCCTGGCACGCGTTTACGTAAAATGTCGGTGCGCGTCGAGCTGTCGCCGCCAATATTTTACCGAGGATATCGTCCGCCTGGCCGTCCGACGACGAGTCTCGAAGTACGAGCAGGACATCGCGCGTCGACGTCGACGATGCTCGCGATACTTTGCGCAAGATATCCGCCAGCGAGTCGTCCTCGCGCCCACGATCGTTCAGTGGCCGGAAATGGCCGCGGCTTTCCGTGAGGCAGTAGAGCAAGACGGTGCAGAGCAGCCCGCGCCGTCCGGCCATCTCAAAGTGCGAGGGAAACGGCGACTCGTGATCCTCGAGTGCAGTCCGAACAATGACGGGGAGTGGACTCGCGGAAGAGCATAGCGCCGCCGCGGAAGCATACGCGAGGCCAGGAGCTCAAAAATGAAATATGATGTCCTTGCGAAAACACTTATAGGAAATTACCATACGCGAAAACACGTAACAACGTGCATAGCCTGTCGTGCATAATATTTAAGGATCATTAGTCTTGTCCGCTTGCCACTCGCGTGTTGCTCCCACCTTGGTGATAAAAATCGAATCTCCATTCTCGTGAAACGCAATTAGCAAGGACGCATCCGTATAAGCGCACAAATAAGAAGAGATTTTTCTGAAATTGCGGAAAAGGGACTATTTCAGCACACTTTTATTACTTCGCAACTTTTAGCGCGTCCTGTGGGATATGCGTTGCACTTTTTTATGGTTCATTTTATCCATTCTTAAAATAAGCTCAACAGTGTCCATGCCATCTTTCAATATCCTAATTGAGAATCATCATCGCAAAATCCAAATTAAGAAGCAGTCACAAAAATTTCTAGAATCCAATTTTTACGCTACCGTTCTCCCTCAATGAGAACATTGCCAAATTTTTCACGCATTTCGCAAGGATCTTTTCATGGCAAAAATATACAAATTCACCGTTGGCACACACAAAAGCCGAGTCGTACTTGCGAATTAATTCCCACGAGTACCAGACCGAAATAAGAGAGACAGGAGACGAGTGTGCGCGTTCGTTTGGACCCCGTAGTCCTGTGTCCTTTTAAGTTAAAGGGAAGAAGAGACGGTGAATGCCGTCGCAGGAACCAAACGTACATACCGATATAAATCAACGTCCACCGGTCACGGGCTCGCGCGCGAGAGGGGAATCGAACGGAGAGAAAGCCAGGGAGGAAAAGGTAGACAACGGCGAAGAGACGCACACGCGGACATCGAGAAGCCTGCGCCGGGCAGCCACTCTCTCGCTCTGTCTCTCTCTCTCTCTCTCTCTCTCTCTCTCTCTCTCTCTCTCTCTCTCTCTCTCTCTCTCTCTCTCTCTCTCTCTCTTTCCTTTTCTTTCTCTCTTTCTCGCGCTTTCTCTCTCTCTCTCTCTCTCTCTCTCTCTCTCTCTCTCCCCCCCTCTCTCCTCCCATCTCTCTTGCTCTCTCCTTCGCTACTTATGCTAATGCAGACAAATCAATTTATTTATATTTATTTATAGCATTCAAATGTTTCCCCCGGAACCGGACCGAGCTACGCGGACGTCGCCGACGCGGACCACCCGCGAAAGCGAATGGAGCCGCGGGCTACGAGATCCGTGGGGTCCGGATCGACCCCCTGCCCTCTTCTTCTTCTTCATCTTCTTCTTCTTCTTCTTCTTCTTCTGATTCTTCTTCTTCTTCTTCTTCTTCTTCTTCTTCTTCTTCTTCTTCTTCTTCCTCTTCTTCTTCTTCCTCTTCTTTCCTGCTTCGGATTGATACAGATAGGTGAAGGGTGCTGGTAGACGTTTCTCGGTGCGATGTATCAGTCGATTCAAGATTTCACAATCCAAAGTCCCGGATAGCGAGCAATCGCGCGACAAAGAAGGAAAGACGGAACACTTTCACGCGTATTTGAAGCGGATCCGTAACCGCGCGCTCTCTTTCCTCTTCTTCTGCAAAGAAATATATCGCTCTTTGCAGTTGTCTGCTCGAGGCTATCGAACTGTGTGCTATGTTGGAATTACACGCGTCTAACTCCCAACAAAAACCACTACTAGAGTAATAGACTGATTGACAACCAGTTGATCTTTCTCCGATGTCGCGCATGTCTGCTTCTGCGCATGCAGTTTGTAACGTTCCACATGCACGTGTTCGTTCAATTTGTCGAAAACGCTTGATAACTTTTGCATTGAGAGGAAAGAAAATCCAATTTATCTGTAGGAATCTGTAGGTACACGCGGATATGCACGTGTGCGCAAGTGTACGTGGCTGTCTATAGGGAATACCGCAACCATCGCGAGGGCGAGGTTAAGAAGCGGAGTCTCATGTGATGTAACCTCGAAAAAACCAAGAAATTAAGAAAAAAGTGAATTTCAGTTCAGCAATTATGGTTTGAGTCTCAGCTAAATTTACAGAAGCCGCTAAGTGGTTTTGAGTCTCGGCTAAATTTTAATGTAAGCCGGTAAATCCGCGATTAGCTCGGCTGGCTAGCCCCGCTCACTCGCTTCGCAACCGCCCGCGGGACGACGTCATTTGTATTATTTTTTGGCATCTATCGTACGTTGGCAATTTTTTAATTTGTTATAAAATATATATAAAATTCTGAATTTATATCGAATTAGAATGTGAAAGCATTAAGCAAGACCCTCCCATATCCACCAGAATCTGAATGAACCCACTTTTAAGATAACTCTAATGTCGAATCGGAAATACTGCCATATATATTCAAATTGCCGCTACATTCGTGCGGAATAGTTGATTGTTTCCGATTACTCTTTCTCCCATTACTCCATATCTGTTACCATTTATGCTTCTTTCGAGCAACAGCTTTATATTCCAGTCATGATATTCCTAAGAGGGCGTTAGCGTTCAGCATATTATGTTTGGTTGGTGACGCTAGCGATTCTAGTAACATCGAAGAAAAAACTATTGTCTAGGGAATAATCAAAGTTGAAGAAACATCATCATACGAGAATCGATTTTCTGAGATAAAAGTAATCGATGTCAAAATAATCGAGGTGATTGCGCCCATCCCTAGTTAGTAATGGCAATTGTAGGCGTGGACGTATAGAGGGTGTTTGGAAGCATTGCATCTTCGTTGGAAGGCGTTCTCGCGAAGGAGAGAAAATTTCTTTCACAGAAATGGCTTGTGAAATGCGTTTTCATATCCTGGTAACAGCGTTGTTGCTTCTTTGCTGTATCCAAGAAGGTATGTGACGTAAATTTAAGAGGTATTTAAATTCAGTTATGCTTGAATGTCGTGTGTATGTGCGTATGTATCACCTTCAAATAACCTTTCTCCGAGCTCGAGATTATAAACACGTACTTTATACGCGTATCATGTATCGATGTTTCTACAGAGTTTTATCTTTGATAAGAATTTTATTTCATCAATACTTGACGAATAATCTTCACATTAAATAATCATGTGTCATGTAATGTGTGTTGAAATAATAATTAAAGATTACGAAAAGTCTATGTTTGGAATTAATATATTTCTAATTGTATGTATTTTTCCAGGCCTCTCGATCAAATGTTGGGTCTGCAGATCGGATTCAGACCCTAAATGCGCAGATCCATTTGATAATTCTACCGTACCAATCACTGACTGCAAGCAAGAACCAGATTTGGAGCATTTGCGAGGTGTAAGACCAACAATGTGTCGTAAGATTCGCCAAAAAGGTGAATATACCAATGATGTGTAATTTTGTTTGCAAGAATGTAAATATATAACTTGCAGATTTAACTGTTACATCCTATATATTGTGTGTATTTTCTTGTTTGCAGTTAACGGTGAATGGAGATATTTTCGTAGCTGCGCATATATGGGAGAGCCTGGTATTGCTGGTGATGAGCGATTTTGCCTAATGAGAACTGGAACATATAATATATTTATGGAATATTGCACATGCAACAGTAAAGATGGTTGTAATTCAGCGTCGTATCAGTACGGGAGTTGGTTACTTTTGATAATCGCGTTTATAACATCATCAGTCAGGTGCGCGTTCAATATGTAAAAGAGTTTAGCCAAAGAGTGAATTTCTCAATAGATCTGAATCTGATTGCTGGATGGTTTGAGATTTCAGTAAGTGTATTTACAATTCAAGATTCATTTGTACTTACTATAAATGACTCCTTTTCTCTTCTTATACATCAAACTTCAGGGACACAAATGCAAAATCCAACAATCAAATTGATAGGTTTAAACTAGTATCAGTAGGTAGTATAGTTTTTATAACGTGCAACGTTTGTAATTTTATATTTCCTTAATTGTTTCTTTGTTGAATGACGTTTTTTTAACGAAAGTGCCTTTTTATATGTTTTACCCCGAAGAACAACGATAAGAAACATAATAATATTTATAAAAAGGAAAGCAACTTCCAGTAAGTTAGTAGATCACCTTGGCCTAATGTTACATATATTTATATATATATATATATATATATATATATATGTGTATGTGTATATTTATCGACAATACAATATATATTTTATCGACGTATTTAATAGAAATATATTTTTATCACATTTGAAAGATGTATATTCATATACTGTTCTCCATCTTGATATTATACAGTACAAATTATGAATTTTTTTGACATCGACGAGTAGCATCCGACTGCTTCAACAACTTCAGATGTTAAGATAAGACTGCTAATGCCGTCCAGATTAATACAATCGACTTAGTTTTAGTGTGGTGTTTTGCCATCTTTTTATATGTTTTGTATATATTTTTAAAGTAATATTTAGTCTTTTTTTTGCATACTGCCATTTATTCACGGACAAAGTATGATTTGTAATATCAGTTGACGTATAATAAATTCATGCAAAGTATAATACAGTACGATGTTGTACATTATGCTCGAAATTTATGTATCGCTATGAATTTGTTATACGAATGTATAAAATATGAATAATAAAGTGACTCGTAACTATACACGGCAACATTATACATTGCCTTGGTCGAACGTGAAACCCAATAAACTTGATGATTTTCTTTTTCATGATGGATAGGTAGAAAGAAGTAAATAGTAATGGATATTAGAATATATTTATAAATACAGTTATTTCTTTGTTTTCATACAATGGAGAAGTGCAAATAAAAACATGTCTTTACATGCATTTGTGCGAAATTATGTACGTGTATTTTCCTTTTTCTTTCTTTTTTCTTCTTTTTGGTGTCAGCAATTACAAATATTTATTAAAATACTATTGATGCATGTGTTGTGTCATTGAAAAAAATATATTTATAGAAAAAATATCAAATTAATTAAAATATCACGTTTAAGATTTTCCTTGGCTATTTGTTTTTTTTTTTTTTGTTTTTCATCGAATTATAGAAACATTATTTTAACACACCAACATAATTCCCATTTTTATATTTATAATTTTCACTTTTACGCTTTTCAATTATAAAGATATGTATCATGGAGGAGAGGAGGGAGGATAAATGTGTTACCTTAAAATGTCTTACCTTAACGTTTACATTAAATATTTCGCATTACTAGACGATGGTGCGCATACAAACGATAATCAATAGAAAAAATACTTCAATTTATCACAATCTGAAATGGCATTCGAATCTTGTTCTAATATCGATTACGGAATATTTAATTTGCACTTGCTTCGTTTCACGATCGCCAGAGTGCCACAAATGAGCGTTTAATGTGCGTATAAAAGTAGCCAAATTTATGTCTTATCGTCACTAAATATAAATATGTAAGTTTTAAAGACACGACGTTACGACGTTACACAGAGCACGTTACAGCCCTCTTCTCGTACATTAGTCTCTCCGCTAAAATTATTTTGTTTATAAATTTTCACGTTTCCACGTTTCCGTAATAAAATATCAATTAATACTAATTCGACGTAGCGCAAACTCACTCTGCTTTTGCGTTTCTTACAAGATATAATGTGTTATATTCGTCAGCATATACGTCGGTGAACACTATCCTACCTGCACCTTTGTTCCACCAACGCATAGTTTCGGCACGACAACTTTTATTACTTTATACGGACGGTTGTATCGATCGGATTCGAGATAAAAGTCGCGGCCGAGTGTCTCGCTCCTTCGCGGAATCAAGGACGGTCAATAATATCAGCGAAGGATTCGTGCCTGCATGAATCCGTGCGGTGGAAACTTAAGGATGGCTTTACGCGCGCGCGCGCATTCCACTGGGGGATAAATTTTTCCTTACGTAAATCGACAATATATGCGAACGCGCCACGTGTATAAATACGCATGCAATATGCGATACGTCCGACGACGTTCCGGATAAGGAGGAGGGAAGAGAGTCGCGTTCGCGACCATGTCTATGGAATATTCTTTGGAATAGCTTTATCGATCAGTACCTTAAATATTTATGGCGCGCCTGTAACGTTCTCATTTTCGCCGCTCGGCCTCTCTTGCGAAGTCTTCGAGGAAAAGAGCACGTCATACGACACTACGGCTGCGTATTTGCGGCGAGTATTGAATGAGTTACCGGACTGCGTCCGGTGCGATTTATTTCTTCTACTCAAACGCCTGCCACTTGGTTATCTGCTGGCCCGGTTTCGCTAAGGCCTGCCTCCACTGCTCGCCGTAAGTCCCGCCGACGTCGGGTCCGATTACAAAGTGACCCACGGGAGTCTTTTTGCCTGAAACGTAAAGACAGTCTGGTAGAATCAAGCGAAATGTCCATCAGGTCTCCGAGGTCTTCCGAGGAGACCTCGAAAGACGGATTATATCAATGTCTCTATGTCACACACGACGACGGATACGACACGTATCCCAGTCTGCTGCAGCGCGCGACTTGCCCGAATAAATATATTTTCCAACTTATTACCAAAGAGGAAATCTTGTCGTATTGCTGCTCACCCATCTTATTCTTCGAGACGAACTTCACAACGAAGCTCACGTCGTTGAGCGCACCCTTATACGGATTATCGGCGACCACTCTCGCCGTCTCCGGCGAGAATTTTGTGGACACCGTCGGCGCGAATCGGTCGCTCTTCCAAAAGTGTGTGACTCGTCCACCGTCGACGACCGACATCTTCAGATACATCTGCCCCTTCAGGCCTTCGTGCTCGTGCATCGTCTGAAGCGAACATTTCAGACGATTCAGAGACAGTATTAGCTGCCCGTCGCTGTCCTCATCCTTCTCGCCCTTTGCCAGACACAGCGACACCTCGACTTGGCCCTTCTTGCTCTCCTTCTGGAAAGAAATTTTTGCCTCGTGCAACTTGTCCCGCTCGTCCTATCCAGCGAAGCGGATAAAACTGGCACGTGCATCTACGCAAGGTTTCATCGGTATCGGTTGACAGAAAATTTCACACAAACATCCCAAAGTCCGTTTCGGACTGGATGAATGGATGAACCGAGGAACGCGAATTTCAGAATCAGATTTAGAAGCTGATCAATGAGGAATAAAGCGAGACAACGTTAGTTTCAGTTTCCTCTTCTCGTACAAGCGAACTGAAGCCGAGATCGAAATTTGTGAATTCGTCGATTTTTGGTTTCCGATCCAAGCGTTTCGTAGACGTACCTTCTCGTCGGCACCGATGATACCGCTCGCGATCGGTCGCAACGGCTTCCACAGATCTCCCGTCGACACATCGCCGGTGTGTTTGGACTTGGGCGGTTTGGTGACAAAGTTCCTCGAGTCGAGCGGGATCGTCGTCGCACCGACGGTTCGTCTCTTGTCGTAGACTCTCCTCTCCGCGGCCGCGGATTCCGCGATTTTGTCGGGACCTTTGCCGAAGAACTGGCTGAGAAGCTTGTTCTTGGTGGACTCTTGGTTCTCGGACGAGCCGCTCTGGCCCTCCTTCTTCTTGCCGGCCTTCTTCGGCGGCTCTCCTCCCTTGGTGGGCGAGTTCTTCTCCGAGTCTTTCTTCTCGGTCGCTATCAGAGGCTTGTCCTCGAGGACCGCGTAGAGGGTCGCGACGATGAATCTCGACCCGTTGATCTCCTCCTCGACCACCTTGGACTTGCCGAACTTCTGCTTGGTCTCTTTGCGCAGCGGAAAGATGAACTCCTCGTTCCACTGCGGCCAAGATTCGTTCTTCGAGGTGGTCTCGAACTTATCCTTGCCGGGGATTAGTTTTACCTGAAAATCGAGCTCCCGTCATTTCCCGGGAGGTCCCAACAACGACAACAAAGTTCAGCGTGTCCAGCGGTTTCCCTCCGTTATAACTTGTGTCTGACGATCCCCTACAGAGCGCGTGTCGCGTGAAGACGCGAAGACACTCGCAGGTTGCAGTAAGACGAGACGAGAAATTTCCTCGTGTCGGGAGAGACACAAATTTTCTAACGCGAAAATATTTGAAAATGCTCACTTCTCACTGGGGAGAGAAAATCGGAAGATTGATCGCTTATCTGTAAATATATCGCGATACTTCTCGAGACGGAGAGAGAGAGAGGCGTTATTCCTGTTTTTCCGGCGTGGTCCGATTTCGCTTCGGCGATAAATAATAAAGCGCCTCTCGAGATGGCGAGATCTCCAGTAAGTAGTCTTTTAACGATCCGCACATCCGCTCCACCCGTTCCCGTTCCGAAATACGTCCGCGAAAGTGGTGCGAATCGACCTCGGGCGTACGCGGCGGTCCGCCGCGTAGGCAGTCTCGTGTCGCGCTATATTCGCGCCCAGAAGAGGAACGTCGTGAGGAACGTCGCGCGAGCGTTCGCCAGTCAATAAGACACTACAGTCGATGCTTGGTCCCTACAATGTGTGGCGCGATACGATCCGACGGCGTTACGTAATCGCGTTGATAACAGCTGAGAGTGTCGGCAGCGTCTCCGGCTCGTGGCTTCGTGAGTAACGCGCGAGTAATTCTCAGGCACGACGAAGCGTAACGAAGCGCGATCTCGCGCAGTGCAAATATCCCGGCAGAAGAGCCCGGTCGGTCGCAACTTCCGCTGCCGCCGCCGCCGCGTGCTTACCGCAAGACACACACGTCGTGTCTGTGACAAGTCTCCAAAGTCCAGATGAAATCTGGATCGTAGTAGATGAAATCGACAAGCAATTATCACGCTGACGACGAGAATGATCACAGCTGTCACGAATTTGGACGAACATTGGTACCCGCGAGAATACACTGGACGAACGCATGCCGGAACGGAAGCCGGAAGCCGGAGAAGAGGTCGCCGTTGACGATCCCGCGGCCTCTCCGCACCGAGCCGCAGCATTCCAGCGGTCGCCTTTTCTCACGCGTACCCTACCTACCTACCTTCACGACGTAACTGTTGACTCTGGTGAAGCCAAAGTTCTGCGGCAAATGCCTGGCGCCGAGCACCGTGACGCGGAGCGTCTTGTCGTTGGGCGAGTGCACGATCCTGATGCCGACTTCCGGCTCCAGATTCACCGTGCGGTCCAACGGGGTGGACACCGTCTTCAGGCTGTTGTCGATGAAGCTCCTGATCTTCGCCAGAGCCATGCTCGCGATCGTCTCTCTCGAGCGCGGTGGTTCTCTCGAAATCCCAGTCGACGACAGTTATCGACGAGTGCGCCGATTTGCGGCGTGCAGTCGCTCAGATAACGGTCTGATCACCGCGGACAGGTAGAGCCCGGCGGAGTTGTCCGCGAGAGAACTGCAAGATATTGTTGTGAGCATCCCGATGTGCGCCGCGCGCGCGCGCGCGATGCCTGAAGGTGCGCTATTAATATTCCCGCGTACAAGACGTGAGCGCCGTCGTGACGCTCGTCGCGCAAACGATAGATAAGGTTTACCGAGCGACGCGCACGAGCGTTCGGCAAAATTATCGGCGGGAATTATGCTCGGCCGACCGCAAACATTTGCATAGGTGTTTTCTCGCTGCCGCGAGGAAAAAGGATTTTGCGATTAGAGAGGGAAAGATTCCGATACGCGATTCTGCATCGCGTTCGACATCGCGGTTTTGCTCATCAGTCACACCGCCTTCCGACCGAGTGGGTTCTCTTTTCTCTTCGAGCGTTCTATCTAAAGAGATTCCACCGAAGGACATTGGAAAAGGACAATTCTATTTCTAGAAAGGTAGCTCTCAGAGAGCGATGTAGCCGCGACATGTCTTCTCAGGCATGGACGGGTCGCGTCTCGATTAGAGTTTGACGTTTTGTTAATTATTCGCATCGCCTCCTGACCAACGACAATCCCGCGGATTATCTGCTTCATCGTTTTACAACAGATACATTACGGTTGTTTTTTACAAATCAACCGCGAAAAGAAAGACACGGTTTTATCACTGGAAAGGCATCGGAAAGCGATTCTGACGGAACTTCTTTCTCGGACACGCAAGCGGATCTCCCGATCGTAAAGCAGCGGGGCAGCGAGTGCTTTCTCTCGTCGTGCCGGCAATATGACGATTTTATCGCCAATAACAGGTGATTATCAGCTGTTCTGCAGCTCGGCAACAGCCGACCCTCGCGCGACTCCCGGCGCAATAAAACAGTACACGCGCGCAAAAACGGGACGTCCGTCGCGAGTAACCGACGGATCAAACTTTCCCCGTGAAAAGAGAGAGAGAGAGAGAGAGAGAGAGGGGGAGAGAGAGAGAGAGAAAGAGAGAGAAAAAGAGGAGGAAAACCAACTCACCGCGCCCTGTCACCGTGACGACGCCGGTCGTCGGTAGCGTCGATTGATCGCGGACGAAGGCACGCAAGAGAAGTTACACGCTCACGACCGCACGATCTGACCGACCTCGATTATAGCGTCATTAACTAATGAGAATCGACGCGCCAGATGCCTTGGTCTGGCGCGGCTACGTGTCTTCCGGTTTTTAATAGAGACTTTAACGCCCGGGATGTCAGAGAACGTCGACGATCTCTTTGCGCCTCGATGTCGATCTCTTCCTATCGCGGCGCCCTTTCGGACGATAAGTGTGCTAAGAAGACGTTCGTCACGACGGCAAGATTTCGTCACACACGAGACAAGCGAGTGCAATCGAATGCTACAAGCGGAATTCAGAGGAAATCGTGGGCTGTTGGTCCGTCGGAAAATCTCCGTCTCGCATCGGTCTGACTCGTCGCTCGTTCTCGCTCCGATATATCTGCGAGCAATCCGTCGCGTTATTCGCGTTTGACTCGGCGCGGATTCGAGTTGTAGGTTGTAGGAAGCGTTCGGAGCGCGAGGCCGGTTGTCAGGTAGCTGTCGGGTTCCTTTCATATGCGAGGCGCAATATCGCGCTGTTATAATCGCGCAAAGTCGGCCTTCGGTGTTCACGTCTACACGCACACTCATGTGCGCACGTTTCTTCGGAGGAAGCGAAATTCACACACACACACACACACACACACACATACCATAATCGCGTCTTGCCAGTTCGGAGCAGGCAGGTAGAGACCGGCGGACGAGGCGGAGCGGGCGAGTCGCGTCGGCGATCGAGAGAGAGAGATCCGAGGAGAGAGCAGGTGATGCTTGCTAGCCGGTTGCTAGCTGCGACGAGCTGCAACGGCAGCGCGCTGGGAACTCCACGCCTGGGCCTGTGACTGACCTGAAACCTCCTGAGGGGTCTCACCCGAGTGAGACTTCGCGCTCTGTCCTCTTCCACTCGAGGCACGATCGACGACGACGACGACGACGACGTTGACGACGGTCAGACGACTGCCTGCGATCCCATCATCAACGGCGGAGCGATCGGACGCGGACTCGCACCATCAGCGGCGAGATCGCCGGGAGGAATGATCGCCGAGAGCTTTCACCGAGAGCGTACAACACGCACTGTTATACGCCTGCACGCGCGCTTGCGACCGTTTGCGATCCACCGCGCATCGTAGACACAGCGACGGAGATTGAGAAGAGAGGGACCGACCGCGGCGGTCTACGTCATCGCGTCGATCAACGAAATACGTTGTTGTTGTTGTCGTCGTTGCCGTTGCCGTCGTCGTGGAGCCCGCATGGATGGTTCCTCTTGCGCAGGCGATCTTGCGTGCGCGCGCGCGCGCGCGCGAGAGAGAGAGAGCGCGAGAGAGCGCGGCCACGCGTGTTGTGTGACTCGTTGCCGTGTGATACCGTGTGATCGCGGCGGTACCGATGACTTCGGTCGCGCGCGCGACGCGTCTCCGTGGTATGCAGTTTGCACTCTCGCGTGGGTTCCCTTTATAAGAGGTCACCATGACGAGTTTGCAGTGGCGGACGATGTCTGAGGTGTCCGCCCATGGGGCGCCGTCGCGAGATCGCATCGTCGATTGGTCAGCTTGTGCTGTGCGCTCTGAAGCACACCTGGCGATACCTGAGCTCGCACCTCGCTCGAGGAACCCGTGCGTGTGGATTTGCTTATAGAATTTTAAAATTACAATTTTCAATCGAACCGCGCCGACTAACGCCAGGCCTACCGATCAAGTCCAGATCCACGCGCGCTTCTTGGTTTCTCGCTTATAAAAATTACTCGGACTTGTAGTCGTGCATTTTATATACTTTTCATTGGCGCGTGCGTTGGCGAAAGTTTTCCTTTGCTTTGATCCGGCGGAGGTAATCGAGCACACAGGGAGCCAAGACTCCCAGCTACGATACTTTCATAAAAGTGGCCGTTGCCGCTGAAGTAGGGGATTTACTCGTACCCGCCATATACCGGGTGTAAAGCGCAGAGCTGTATCGGTGGAGTGACGCCTGTTGCGCTCACAAGGTCGCGCATTCATATTACACGTAGCTGCCGCATGTGTGTGTGTATGTGTGTGTGTGTGTATACATGCGTGTACGTGCATATGTACCTCCGCGTGAGTAAACACGACCACGTAGGTGAGGTGTGTTTCACAGATCCGAAATCAGAGCCGTAGGCAATCGCGCGGCGGCCCCTGTCCGATGCGATAACTGAGGACAGACTGAAGAATGATAAAATGCAGTCAAACGGGTGAGAAGAGTGTTTCGGGAACGTAATCGATTATCGACGCGAACAATTACAAGACCGACAAGACCAACCTACAGGCGCAATAAACCGGCACACGGCCGAGTCGCAAGAAGCGTGAGTGTGATCTACGTGATTGAGATTTATTTATCTTTGTGCGTAGTACGAGCTAATTGTAATTTCGCATGTGATATCTCGCGCCAGCGGCTCGGAGGAATGCGGTAGACACAACGAGTGATCGCATAGAAAATGAATCGTCGTGGTTGCATTACAATACCGACTGTGCATCAAGTGTGACGCAATTAACGACGTTCGAACGAATCGCGCGCGATGAACGCTTCATTGGGAAATATCTACGCAATTTGTGTCGCGTATACAAAAATGTATCTGAGCGTTCAATTCGACCAACTCAAATCCGCCATCCGCGGCCCGTCGATGCGCGGTATTTTCGGCATCGCCGTGTCCGACCTCACGACGACGATCGACTTTGTCGAGATGCGTGCGCGTCCGCGCGTCGTTCGGAGCGCATATTTGAATACGTGCGTGTGTGAGCGCGATGTTCCGCGCGTATCTAATTGTATTGATCGCACGTGATAATATGCGAGGATAACTCTGAGCATCTCAAGGCCTTCGGGAAACGCGAAGCGCGCGCGACCTTCGTCGTCGTGTTTGTATTCGGTAAATTGCAGTTGCGGAAAACGAGTCTGATTTACCGTCGCGTCGACGCGCGGCTCTTCGTGAGCGCGTTGCCTGGATATTTTTCAACTCACACACATACACACACACCCATATAAGGTAATATGCGCGATGAGGTAATCGGCAAAACGTGAGAATAAAAAATCCTACACGTCGCAAAAAATTGAATTATGAGAGATAATTGCAGCATGAGAGAGAAGTACAAATCTCTCAGCACATCGTCTTGCAGACGATGCGCTGATATACCGACGACGGAAACGGGCTTTCCCGCGGCAGCTAAAGGCAGCGCTCGAATTCGCGGAGGCGCGAAGGGTGAAAGCGGGTAACGACGTCCTGCGACAGATGGCGGTAGCAAGGAGGACAACCCCTATCTTGCTGCCAAACAACCCTCGCAGTTGACGAACAGCTGTTCAGCACCGCCATGGCGCACGCGACGTCGGGACGACAAAAACACTTGAAACGCCTGCAGCTGAGCCGTGCCGAAAAAATCTTTCCGTGTCGCGACACAACGTACCTCCTCGTCATAAACTTTCGATCGTAATAAGCGGGCGCGCGGGCGCGCTCGGGACGGTGCTTCGGCTGCTGCGAATCGCATGTTTCCCGGGTGGATGTCAACGTGACGTCTCCGAGAGACACGCTCAATGCGTATCTCTGGATCTCGCCAGGTACGAATTCGCTTCTTATTTGTCCGCACCCGACGCGATCTGTGCGTATGTGCCTGTCTTCGCGGACGGCGGAGTTCGCGCAGAAATCAGCGTTGCGTAACTTCTGGCAAGTTTATGTAATCCGAAAAGCAAAGAGAGAGAGAGAGAGAGGGGGAGGGAGAGAGAGAGAGAGAGAGAGAGAGGAGCGAGAGAAAAATATCAGCAAGACAATTTAAGCATAGGTAACAAACAATGATATCGTGCAGCCATGAGTCACTCTTTAACAGGCTGCTTTCGTGGACGAAACTTTATGTGGGCGATTTTAAAACTGCGATCGCGATATATTCCCTCTCTCTTTCTTTTCTCCTCCATATTTTATTTGTCGCGGGAAATATTACACAATTAGATGAAATATCACAGGAAATTGTGAAGGATTTTGTAAAAATTTACGTAAATCTCTCAAAGGCTTCACTCAAAAATTGATTACGACAATTGTTACATGTTCTGTGACATGTTCGTAGGAATTTCCGATCTAGTAATTAATTTTATTTCGCACACGTCGAATGCGTGATACCAGGCGAAACAGGGATTTATTTAAATATCATATCGAGGCAATTGATTTAAGCCGTTATCAAATATTTAACGGCTGCATCGTGAGATGGCACCACATAGATACGCTTCCATCTGGCACCAATATAGAATAAATTATATCGCGAAATAAATTATATAATTAAATTAAACGTCATAGATTATTGTCCATCATTTGTAGTCGCGATTCATTATTCACGATTATATTCATTCATCATTCGTATCACGTCCACGTCCGCATAACGCACGCACGTCGCGCAATCCAAACACGGACGCGTAACGAGAAGCATATAATTCTTTCATTTTTTATCGCTCCCTTCTCCTTCGGAGCGGAAACACGGCATACGATCTGGAAAATCGTATACTCTCCTTTTTTCTTGCCTCGGTTACACGTGTTCTTATTCAAGCCACGTTCCGACGACAAGGGTAATAGCCCTGAACTTTGTCTTCGTCGGATCAGCTTAACTTCCGGTCGTAAAATTTCGCGAAATTCCAGCGTGGTTTCGTCGCGGAAGATGTTTTCCGTGGTTCCCGGCGTTTTTCCGCTTGATCGATCACCGCCACGTTGTTGCACATTACCGACGTAACGGACGTAACGTTTCCACGAATTTTCTCGCATATTACGTCGCACATATTAATTTACGTCGCGCGATGCGCCTGAGATTTCACGATGCGCTACATCAGAGAGAAAAACAGTACAATTGTTATATTACTAAATGAAATTCGAGCGTTGTACTTAAGCTGTATCGGAGATGATCACAGTTCTCTCGGAGGAGAAGGACTTCCTCTCGCTAATATACATCCGTGAGAGGCATTCGCGCTCGAGACTCGATTTCTTCTCGCGAATGTCTTTTCCGATTCCGATCCGTAGCTATCGCGCATCCTCGCGCGCTACTTCCAATATACGAGGACGCCACGATGATATAATAAGAAAAGAAACGAAAACCGATATGACGGAGTCACGTTATGCGCCGGTAATCCGCGCTGCATTACGACGAATGCCGCACGTGTGTCCGCGGTTTCTCCTCGTCCGCGAGAGATTCATGAATGCAAATACTTTGGGAATAAAGAGTCACGCGCGCTCTTTACATCATTCACCCTTCTCATTTTCGTCCCGCACCACCTCTCTTTCTCTCTTAGCTCCATTGCTCTCGCTCCCTCTCTCTCTCTCTCTCTCCCCCCCTCTCTTTCTCTCTTTCTATCTGCTTTTCATTACGTAATATAATTTCCATCTTGCTTTCCGTTTTCAACTTCAACCCCAGACGGAACGTGTCCACTCTGCCCGCTGTTGTTACGCACTGTCCGTTTGCCATTTATTTAACAGATGCAATTCCGCGTCTTCGCGGAACCATCGAGGATAGCTCGGCAAACGATAGCACGAACGCGCATTCTCCCCCTCGGTAAATCAGTTGCCGCGCGCGCGCACACTTTTATTATAAGCTCCTTTGCGCGGCGCAATTTAAAAGTATAGCTCGCACCGCTCCGTCCCGAAGCTCCGTATTAAGCTTTCACTTTGTAAGCGGCACCTTCGTATTATAGACACCGCCGCCGCCGCCGCCGCCGCCGCCGCCGGAAAGTATCGCCAAAGTTCAGCTAATCGTTTCTCATCGCGCGGACGCTGATAAATTATTCAATTACACAACTCCCCTTCCACCTCGCCCTCCGCCCTCATCGTTGTCGACGACGAGGGCGGATGATTTCGAGAGGAAATGAAAAAAGGAGGGGGAACCGGAGAAAAGCGGAGAGCGTACATTTTTCTAATGCTAATTGTCCAAACTCACTCTCGCGAGATCGAGTTTGCATCGCGTCGGCGACGCGGAGATTAAAGTCAGATTTCGAAGTACTTGGTAATTCCCTGTACGTATTTCTCGCACGTAGTCGCAGCCTGATATATTTAACCTCCCTTTGACCCTGCGCACCCTTTTAAGTGCATCATTACGTATTCCCTTTTGTAACGTTGGACTTTATGCAGACCACATTCGTGCAGGCACCTTTCTATTCTTGATCATGTCGCGTGTTGGCCGCGCGCAGGTGATAATTTTGTCTTTATTGCAAATGTCTCGCATTAGCAAAGCATACGTGTATGCGTACGCGCGCGCGCGCGTATGTGTGTGTGTGTGTGTGTGTCTGACAGCAGCGTATACAAGTCAATTATCAACCGCGTTTCTCCCGTGATTCCCGATTAAGAATCAACAACATCGTTCGCATCCCGTTTCATTTCAGCCAATACTCTGCGGCTTCGCTCATTCGGCTAAAATTAATTAACTGGGTGAATATCCGCGGAGATATCCAACGTCGCGAATAAACAAGCAGCGATAATTTTGTTGTATGGATATTTTTGCGCTCCTGTTGCATTTCACTTCGTTGTTCGAAATTTCATGTCGGCTTACACTTACAGCTCGCGGAAAATCATTTTCTCTCGATTGTGTGTCATTTCCTCTCTCCTCTCATCTCTTCCTGTTCATCGCGATGCGTTTGCATTATGCAAAGTTCCATTCTGAGATCCGGGCCGCGCGATGGATTCGTTTCGATCGATGTGTGAAACGAAACGAGACGAAGGAAGAAGAAACAGAAGAAGAGAAGAAACGGGGGAAAGAACGAAGAGAATTCTATAATCGAACGGATATCCGGGAATAGCGGCGAGACCGCCTTGATTAGAGCGGAATCTATTTGCATTCCCTGTCGTCGTGGCTCTCAACGTGATCCTGTTAATACCGCTTTCCTCGGCATGTTCACCTCGCTTGTATGACACTTTGTCCCAGTTGCACGGCACGACGGCAGCCGCGAAAGAGGTCGGAAGTTTCTGAATGTCGGTAATGAATATATGAATGCGTAAGCGTGTCGCCGTTTGTCACTCGGGAATTGTATACGTATCGTCTCGCACGCGCGCATATCAAGATTACGTTTTCAATGTCAGTTGTGCGCTTTAATTAGAGTCCACGTTGCGCGTGCGACTTGTCATTGTGTTCTAATCGAAGCGAGTCGAGCAACCCGAATCTTCCTCCGCTACCCCCCCCTCCCCCCGCCGCCGATCGTCGCTCGTAAACTTCAAGACATTCAACGTAGCTTCAATTTGAATCATAGTTTGTCACTTTTGGCAAGAATGGACCAAAGCAAAAAAGATTCAGATTTTACGCTTGTAAAATCTTGTGAAATCATGTAAACGTAGAATTTTTCTCCCTTAAATTATACAAAATTTTTTATCACGCAAATACAATGTATACTATCTTTTCTCATATTTTCTTGAATTGTCTATTTCGGAAATAATTGCGACAAATTCTTCTTCGATTCACCTCTTTACTCTTGAGCTATAACACACTACGCTAGGAAAAATCTGCGAGCGAAAGATTACTCGAGACTTAGGAATTCACAGCCGCTTTTATCTCGCCATCGTAACCGCGAGTATCGCGATTTAACGGCTCGCGCACGCGCGTTTAAAACGAATACTTATTCATAATGGATATCTGTCCATCAAATCTGCAATCATGGCATCATCAATCCTGCGAGTGCCTATGCAGACGGAGATTTCATTTATCGGGAAAGTTTGAATCAAACCGCCATTACTCACAACGTTGCGCGCGGCTGTGACGGAGCGTTTCGATTCAGCAGAAGGTAATTGAAATTCGTTTCGTCACCGGCTTTTGCCGGTGGGATCGCCCCTTCTTTTTTTCGCGATTTTGCAATTTACCGTAGGCATTTGAAGATTTTGAATCGGCGCGATTTAAAACGGGAAGCGGAAAAAAAACACATTCCACACACGCAGTGAAACTTTTTCACCATCCACCCTGCCTCGCCCTCACTCTCTCTCTCTCTCTCTCTCTCTCTCTTTTTGAACTTTTGCAGCTCTATCCCGCGGCAAATTCGACGAATGTAAATTTCCGTCGATTACGATCGCCGCGCAAAAATGTGCCTCGCGAAATACGTTTGTAGTTTGTCAATCACGTGAAACGGCTTTCAAAAATCGAAACGCAAACAATTATTCGTTTTGCGGCCGATGGTAACGCGTATAATTTATGGCGCGGCGCAAAATCGTTTATCCGTGACAACGGATGAAGCGGAGTGATAAAAAAAGAAAGGAATAAAAAAAACGAGCGAAATATAGGGGGAGATATGGAGAGGGTGGGTTCCGTTCTCGCTGTCTTCCCTGCCGGAGGTAGCGCTAATTCGCCATGAATTTCGACACTTCACCCAAACCGAATCCCCAAAACTTCCCGACGAAAACGGATTAGCAGCGGCCCCGTGGTGTCCGCGCGCGCGCGCGCGCGAAGGGGACGTAAATCGATTTCGTCGTGCTCTTAAATTCGATTAGACCCAATTCCGATTGCATTCTTCAAATGGAAATCGGGAGAACGAGATTTTCACGGCGGAAAGTGATTTCGACAAAACAAGATCGCGGAGCCCGAAGCGTTGTGTGATTAGATTTGACACTCTCG